TGTTGGATGGAAATTGTGCCATGTGCCAGGTGGTATGTAGGTCATAATCTATGTAGGTCAAAACAATTATAAAATAATAGGTGTTTGTATAAAAACATGGGATATTTTTTTTAAAGTTTTCAGAAGCCTAATAATTATAATTATAACTCTAGTTACTTAAAATTAAGTTATATATTAATGTATTATAAGACAGTGAAATAATTTTAGAACTCTTTAAGGATATGTTAGTAGCTAGAATATTTACTTTTGTAATTACTTTATATTGTTAAATTACAAGTATGGTAGAAGTTGTAAATTAGCATTTGCAAGTATTGCTTAGAAAGTAAAGAATTGTTTAGTTTATTGCTGCAATACATAAGTAGTTAAATATGGGATCATAACTAAGCACTAGTAGCAGTTTGCTTCATTGGGTGGGAGGTCTTCAAAGCAAGCATATTAAAATACAAAAACCAGGTGCTAAGTGTTCTGAAAAGGGTTGATATCTGATAATTTTGGAAAAAGTTGTGTTATGATGTGAAATGAATTTGAATATTGCAATTTGATTAAATGTAGTTACTGAATTATACTATTTTATCACATATCTGAGTGATGCTAAATGGCAGTCTTGCAACTGAATTATTAATTATATTGTGTATGAAGAGCTAAATGTTATGGCAAGGATTAAAAGTATTAATTTAGTTTATAATGTCTATACATGTCTTTCTAAATGTAGCAATCAATATATTTCCTCTGAAATGTCAGATTTTGTACATTTTGTTTTTTTCCCTCCAAGGTGAATCGCATCTTTTGTTGGTTGGAGACCCTGGAACAGGAAAATCTCAATTTTTGAAGTATGCAGTAAAGATTATGGCACGATCGGTGCTTACTGCAGGGATTGGTTCTACAAGTGCAGGTATCTGATATTCCAACCAGCGCCAATTTGTGCTCTTAACTTTTATTATTGCATACCTGGGAATGTGATTTTAATCACAGAGGTATTGAATATATAAGCAAGAACATAAACTAGTTTGATTATATTAATGCAGTCCTTGCAAAAAAAATGCCATGGAGTCAGACAAGTGAGAGTTGGCATGGTTCCCTATAGAAATCTGGCCCTACTGTTTTTTTTATGCACCGAAGGGTTGATTGTAGCGAGCTTCCTTTTTAGGGGATGCTCAGTGAGTCTTGCCCAGAGGCCTCTCCTACTCAGTTTTCATGGTGATGATCTGAGCCTGTATTTTTATTACTCTTCCTAGCAATAGCAAATTTGACATTTCTCCAGAGAAGACAGTGCATGACACTTTCATGGAATAGGATCATAGTAGATACTTCTGCTATTTTCTCTTCTTTAGTGTGTTTTGAGTGGATGCCAAGTTTGCCTCTTTTTTTTTAAAGCAATATCTTAAACTAAGGCATTATCCTTAACTCATTAAGATGCTTTTCAGGAACACACTTTTTTGATTTAGATACTGTTCCAAAGTGAACCAAGTTCCCAATGTCTTAAATCTTCCTGGAGGACAATATAAATAGCAAATTTACTGAGTTTGAGCAAACTTTTATACTATCAGTATGCTCACAAATCAGATATAATATGAAGGATTTCAGCTGGTGTATTTAATATAAATGTGTTATTCCGTTTTGCGTTGCTCCTTTTTTAACACTGGGAAACAGCAGTGTGTTTAAATGGGAAAAAGCAAAAGAATATCTATATTCCCCAGTACCTTATCTCTCTGTCCATTGTGCATACATCCCATCTACAAAAGATTTGTTATGAAATAAGTGTATTGCTGATTTTGAATTCAAAATGTTGGCAAACCTATTAGCAGAGAAGCCATAGAACGTTTCTGCCAAGGGTGATCTTTACTATATCCGTCCATGGTAAGAACTGAGAACAAACTGTACTCCAGGCTGATGTATAGTTTCTCAGGTCTTTGTCAGATATTGACCTGAAGTAAAATGTTGTGATCTATTTGTCAGTAATGATCGCTTTATGCCAGCCAAGCTCATGTACCTCTGCTTTATCTTAATTTACCAGAGCTCTCACTTTCATATAATGCTATTTGTGAGCTGGTGTCCTAGACATTGAACAAATATCCAGCAATAGTTGGATGCCAAGTCACATTAAACTGTGTTTGCATCACAAGCTTGGAGCAACATGATTACTATACTATTGGTTTGTGAAGCTTCAGCACTTTAAGGGCTTCACTCCTTGCAAAAGCCCTCTAAAATCATAAAACCATCTATGGTTAAACCTCAGTCAATTATTTATTTAAAAAAAGAGGAAGAAAGAAAATGAGTCCACAAAAATCTTGTCTATGCACCATTTTCCCATCTTTAACTGTTAAGAGCCACTCCATGAATGAGAATCAGGAAGTATATCTAGACATATAACTATGCTTGTACAGGGAAAAGAGATTTAGGATTTGGGAAGTTAGTGAGCTCTAAGCTAGGGTGAATACACAGCATGCTAGCAGCTCCACACTAACTCCTTGGGTGGATGCTCTTAATGCACAATACAAGTGTGTCTATCTGAAGCAATTAGTACCTTGCCACTACAATTTCTACTTTATGACTTGGACAAAGTATATTCGCATTAAGAGGTAGGAGAAAGTAGTTAGTGTGCTGTTAAATTCAGACCTTAGCTTACTGCACACTGAATTTCCCTATGGACAAGGTCCTAATATAATTAAGAGTTAAACACTCATAACTTCAGAATTGCTGACTGAATCTGCTGCCAACTTAGTTTGAATCTTAGGTCAAACCAAGGAAGGAAATTATTTACCTTCCAACCACATTTTGAGCTGTTTGGCCGTGTCCAGCCATACAGGCACATGCAGCTTGAGGTGCACAAACCTCTTTGCAGCACCACACACTGCACGCCCATATGGTTAAAGTGTGTCCCCCACTGCAAAGTTGTAGCATGGGGGCAGAGTTTGCTGCCAAGATTTCCTGGTAGCAAAAAATCCCCCAAGAAAAGCAGCATGGCACATGGTACAATAGCATGTGCTGGAACAAATGGAGGCTTGGTCCTCCAGGGAGATGCTCTGGCTGCTGGCCAGAGCATCTCTGCTATTTCATTTGTGCCCCAGCTGCTCCAGCACTCCAGGAGCCAGGAAGAACAGGGAAAGGGCAGTTTGCCCAAAGCAGGAGTTTGTCCCTCACCAAAGCGCACGTGCAGGGGTATGCACTGTGGCACAAAGCAGCACAAATTTGTGCTGCTGCAAGCACGTGCCCCTGCACATCTGGACGTGGCCTTTGAGTGTAAGTGTTCCAAAGGAATGGAAGAGGTAAAACTTCCTTTTCCTTTTGGAATGTTATCTTCAAATAACTCAACTGATTTTTCTGGAAATTATTAGGAAAAAGAATCAGTTTCATGCTACGATCAAGCATTAAATATACCCTTCTCAAAGGACATACCAGGGAGAGACGAAACATTAGTGTAAAACTGGTGGAGTGTAAAGCTGGAATTGATCATTTAACTGTAGTGTAGCATAATCCAGTAGCATACTGGCAATGTTGTGAAAGGGTCTACCCACAAATGCTTAACATCCTGTGATAAACTCTGGATAAAAGAAAGAAGGGTGATGAAATAAGGTTCTGTCATTTTAATATAAGAAAGAGAAGATATTGAAAAAGAACTTATTGAATCAGTAAGATGTATATGCATCTCTTCCTTTCTATTAAACTAAGAGTGAATTCTTCTGTAAAATGAACAAAATAGAGTAAGTGTTTACTAAGCAACTACTTGGAAGAGGTGTAGAGGAGGTGAGGGCCTTCCAAGATTTCCTGTTAATTTTATGCACTTGAGTATTCCACTGTTAGCCCACTAAACTTCTCTTGATATATAAATTAAGCATCTACATAACTGGTTGCTGGACTATGGCCCTAATCTTTAACCTTCAGTTTCAGTATGTGAAAACATAGAATGAGTCCTTTCCCTTGTCTTGTATGGTATTTTCAGTGGCATGTTTTTCCAACTGTTTATACTTCAATACCAAAAATACTGACTTTGTAAACTCACTTTTCACAAACCAACTCCAACAGATATTCATAACGGTTGTGCATGGAGAAATGTTAAATGATGCTGCTTTCCGTAATGCTTTTACACATTTTACATTATGTAGTTTCTGTCCTCTTGTACAGTACAGATCATTCCAGACCTATTCTTTTTGAGGTAGAGAAACCAACTGCATCAATTCTATATTAAACACCTTGCTCTCTACACGAAAAGTATGAGTCTGAAGGGAATTGATAAATTGCCAGCACTAGTGGTGTAATCTTCCCTTCAAACTGAAATTATTAAGAAAATAAATTGCTCTTCACTCTAGGGTTGAGAGATGTTCAGGACAGTGATGTAGACATCTAAAGGATTTTCTTTTTCACCTATTTCTGTAAATATACAAGTTGCCCAATTAACTGAATGAAATTAGTTTCTTTGGTAAAGTAGGTTTTGCTTGGTTATGTATATTATAGATTTTTTTTCTTCCTTCCATTGTTTTGGAGCCTTTTTATATAAGAAAATGGTCAGTCTTCCTCTGGAAGCCCATTTCTCGGCTGAGACTCCATGAGTAAGAACATTATCCCAAGCTTGCTCAAGCTTTTGTGAGCTGGATACCAGGTATAAGAGCTGTCAGGGTGGGTTGTGATCACAAGTATGTGGTAGTTACCATGCCTGAGTCCCGATTCCATTGATGGCTTGGAAGATCAGGATTAAAGTCGTAAATATTCAGTACAAATGCATCAGGATTTATCGGAAAAGTCAGATTACAGCAGGCTACCTCATTGTGGAAGTTGCGGGGGAGATATGTAACTGGAATGGGAGGTAGAGCAAGTCTCAATAATCCAGGCAGGAGATAAGTGTATTGATTCCTGTGCCTATAGGAAGGAAGAATGAAATTTTTTATTGTGCCAGAGATAAAAGTTATTTTTTTAAACAATAATTTTGTCTGCCTTTGCTAAGCTATATGATAGCTTTTTGAAGGAATTGTCCCTATCTGGAAATGGATATGGACAATACAAAGTGCATCACTTACTTTTAACAGTGAGGTCTGTATCATATTACCTAAGTGGTCTGGTATAGATACTGTGCAGAGAAAAGGGTAGGGCTTGTGCGAAGAAAAACTCATCCCACTGTCACTCTGGTCGTTTGCATACATGGTGTGGGCGTTTGGTTCCCTGGGGACAACTTGCACCAACACACCTTTGAGTTTGGAATTCATGTAGCGCTGTGCTTTTTCCTCCTGCCTATAGCAGGTGAACAGTGTTGAAAGCTTCCCAGGGCGCATCCTGATGAGCATGCATGTGTGGTTTGCAGCACAGCAAACCAGTTCAAGATGCTACAAACTACACATGGTGCACGTGCACCCATTCACTGTGCTGCTAATTTGCAGTGTGGCTTTTTTTTTTGACACTAGGAGATCCCAGCGTCAAAAAAACCATTGCTAAAACAGCAGCATGGCCCACACAACAGAAGCATGCACCACCAGAAAGGGACCCTGGCCAGCCAGAGTGGCACCATTGCTGCCCTAGGAAGGCCTCCAGGATCCTAGATGATACAGCCTACCCAGGACAATTTGCCCCACACCAACCCCACATGCAGGAGAGTGTGGGCCACAAATTTGTGCTGTTTTTGCCATGATAGTCACATGCCCCTGCATGTGGGAACGTGTCCCTAGATATCAAATGGTATGTGCATTAGGCCTGTGCGAAGCAGCTAGTATTCGCTTTGGATTCAGATTCGGCCGATTCGGGGGACAGTGATTTGATTTGGTGATTTGAATCACTGCCCCAATTCAATTCAGCTGAATCAGCCAGGCCAGGCCCATCCCCCGCCCCTCTCCCAGCCTGGCAATGGCTGCCCCAGCCC